TTATTCCACGTATGATTCGAACAGTTCAATCTCTGATGCAATTCTTCACTGTAGAATGTCAAATGGTATTTGAGATTTTTGTTTACATAAATCTATTTCCCCTCCAAATATGTAAGATTAATAAATGAACACATTCATATTAACAAAATGTTGTTCTTTTAAAATATATGATACAAAAATATATTGTCATTTTTTTTATCTGATTTAAGACTTGGGATCATGTGCGACAACATTTTTTACACTTAAAATTAGGGGTGAGCATAGGCGGGTACCCGCCTTATTTGACAGGAACCGGAACCGGCGGTTCTTGAGATATTGTAACCGAAACCGAAATCGATTCAAACGGTTCTTGAATTTTTGGAACCGGAACCGCCGGGAACCGGTTCCGGGTACCCGCTTCCTAAAATATTAAAATTTTGTTATTTAGAAATAAAAAATAAAATATTGCCAAAATACTAAATAAATAAACAAGAATATAAATTATACAGAATAATAGTTACAAATATTGTTTAACGATTACAAACCATAATAAACTAATAGTAAAATGTTGAAAGTTTAACGATTACATACTATAATTGCAAATGTTCAAAGTTTAACGATTACATACTATAATTGTAAAGGTTCAAAGTTTAACGATTACAGACTACGAATCCAATTAAACACATAATTTGAAAAAATACGAATTATTTTATTTCAAATTTTGTATCTAAAGTTCTAAGTTCTTGACATAATTTAAATTTAGTATTAAAAAAATTAATTATTTTTTTAATTGAAAATTACCGGGTACCCGGTCCCGACGGGTAATGGTTCTGAAAAATTGAGAACCGGAGCCGGAACCGGAACCATTCTCAATCGGTTCTGTATTTTAGAAACCAGAACCACTCATATCGGTTCCGGAACCGGCAGTTCCAAGGCAGTTCCGGTTCCGCAAGTGGGTACCCGGTTCCGCTGCTCACCCCTACTTAAAACTTCAAAGCAAAACACCGTATTTTTGCTGTAAAGGTTCATATTTTTACAACATTTTGTTGTGAAGTTTCAAGTATAATAATGTTGTCTCACGTGTTTCATGAAAACAGCCTCATCCCACGTGAACCCAACCCTCTAATTATGTAAATTACCATCCTTGAACTTTTTTTATATTTTAGACTCTTAAATAGACATTTTTTCAATCATATGCCGTAATATTTTTTTTCTTTAAAGATTATTTTCTAAAATAAAAATCGAATGAAAATACCGTATATTAACCCCTTTTCGGACATTTTGTCAAGATATTTTTGCTTAGTCTACCTTTTATGGAAGCTTTGACAATTTATGGCATGGTTGTAGCATTAGCGCTTTTATTTGCGAATACTTTTGTGTTTTATCAAGGGCAAATTGCATGAAAAAGTAACGTACTTTAACTTGATTCCTATTTTGGGTAACGTACTTTCAAAACTTCTATTTTGGTACCTAAGATGTAAAATTTTAAACATTTAAGTATCTGAGTAACCCAGTGAAGACTAATTTTAGACTAAAAAAAAAGACTAATTTTAGATTAAAAAAAATCCACGTCACTGACTAGGTCAACAAATAATACCGAGTTGGATACCACATCACTCGCCACATCAGTATGATAACCGGTTAATACTTCAACCAGTTACTCGGGTACTTAAATTTTTAAAACTTTACATTTTAGGTACTAAAATGAAAGTTTTGAAAGTACGTTACCCAAAATAGGAATCAAGTCAAAGTACATTACTTTTTCATGCAATTTACCCTTTTATCAATTCCGTTCCATTTGTATCTCTTAAAAATGCCAATTTAAGTTTTTATAATAAAGGAATTATCTAATTGTAACGTTTTTTATTATATTTTGCCTTCTATTTAAATACAGTTAATCGATTTTGAATATTTCTAACAGGGATGGAAACAGAGCAGGTAACAAATCCCGTATCCCTGACCTCCATTTAAGCCCTTCGTCCCGACTAATCCTCAACGGGTTTGAGAAACCCGTTCGACATCAATTTAGTAGTAAAAGTTTATACACGTATATTAAATAAATAAAATTTTAATCAGGGTAGGGTGATATGTGTTGAGAATTTAACACATAACACGCTCTTTTTAGGACTTTTTACTTACTTTAATTTCTTTTCATTCCCAAATTGAGTCATTTTCATTTATTTCTTTATACCTTTGTTATATTGAAGCTAAATGTTGTGGTTAACTTGTTGGTATGCATAATTTAAGCTAATTTGGAGTTTTTGTGATAACAGCAGGT